CCGGAACAGCGTTTCTGGAAGAGAGAAGAGGATGTTTTCAGTTGTTTGCTTATCTCGTGTGGGTTTTTTGGTAGGAATGGGCTAAGCATCGCCCGGATGCAGGGAGGCCAGCGGGTGGGAAGCGGGTTTGGGGTGGCGCTGCCCTGACGCCGGCAGGCCCCAGGGAGGGCAGCGGTCGGGATTTCGCTGCGTTCCCTTGTGCAGGGCTGCTGGCAGCATGCAAATACAGAGCGTGGCCTCGTCCCGGCCAGTCTTGGCCCCTGTTTCAGTAGGGGAGGCCAAGCCCCTCCGCGCGCGGGCGAGAGAGCTCCCGTGAGCCGCCGTGTGTCCCCCTGCCGTGACGTCCGCACATACGGACATCTCTATAACGAGTTTATTCCAGCCCCAGCACTCTCCCGCCAGCGGAGCCCCTTGCTCTGGCTCCAGCAGCGCACGCTCCCTCTCCCGGCACCTGCTGCGATCCCGGGCTGCGGAGGGCAGGGTTGGCACAGCTCTCCCAGGGGATGTTCGATGCCACAGAAGCACTTCGATTTACTTCACTTTCTAAGCGTTTGAATTTGGTTGCTTTGTTTTTCTTGAAGACATTAACAAGCAATTCAGATTAATCTGAAGTGACTCACTTGCTGCAGACGCACCGTGCTTGCATCCGGCACAGATCCACAGTGGGGGGACGCTGGCTTAGGGTGGCATTTCTCCCAGTCAGACACTGCGGTTCACGACACAAAACGCTGAACTAATCGCAGACAAAATAACTTCCCAGTGCCACTCTGCATTTTGTCAAAATATGATGAAAGAGTAACTTTAATCTGGCTGGCTTTTCACTGATTCTGCTCTGTGCCAGCTGAGTTTTGCACAGGTTTAGGTAAATCAGTTCACTGACAATAATTAGCATAGAGCAATTTCCTTGTGGAAGCAAGCTTTTATCTTGCCAGAGACTAAAGTGCTTTTTCTTCTCCGTGACCTTTGCTTTGCTATCTTCTTGGGGAGCATCTCTTGGTGAATAACGGAAAGCGATGCTGCTTCAAAGAGCATGTTGTTGCCAAGGGAGCTGTTAGTCCCCATCTGTTTATAACAGCGAGACGGGAGCCCATTTTGAAAGATGGCAGTTCGTTGTGGAAATCAGTTGAGGGATATTGTACTTCAGCCTTTGCCGAGGAAGAAAATGCCTGTTATGACAAACCCTGCAAGGAGCACTAAGCCTTAAAAAGGGGCTGAAATTGAGCCAGGGTGTGAGATTTCCAAGGGCCTGAATGAAAGAAGGGTGAGACTTTCTGTCATTCGGACAAAAGTGGATCTGAAATTCCTAAGTATCCCATTTTGCAATTCATTGTAACTCGGCCCAATGGACTAGTCTGCAATGCCTCCGACGTGGTGCAGCAGGGCCGCGATTCTGGGCAGCGGCGGATGCTGCAGCAGCTGGGTCTCTGCCCCACGCAAGCTTTCTCACGTGCCCGCCGGGCTGGTCCTGCACCTCCCGGCTGGCCCGCAGGGATGGCACTGCCGCCGCTTGGGGTTGCTGCACCCCAGGGCAGTCTGTGCTTTTGCCCTGAGGCCCCAAATTTACCCTGCTGTTCTCCAGCTGCCAGGGTGAACGAAGGGAGAGCCATCACCAGGACGGAGGCGAGCAGCCACGTTGCTGCGCCTTTTAGAGGACAGCAGCAACCATGCCACCGTTTCATGGTTTGGAGACAGTCCTGCTGGTTCCTCCCTTTTCTTTTTGTTGCTTCTGTATGGTTTTCACAGTGCAGCTGATGGGGGGGTGCCTGAATTTAATTAGGTCATGCTGCTCTGCCAGTGCCCTCTTGCAGCCATTGAGGATTCAGCCGGAGGTGCAGGAATGAGCCAGGAGGATTTTAATGATCTGCTGGCTGCTTTGTCTGTGACTTATTATTTGTCTGTGAGGCAAACCTGGAAAACGAGAGCTCTGTGGGCATGGAGAGGGCCTGGGGAGCTGTTTCTCTGGTAGGACAGGGCTGGGTGTCAAAGCAGCCTCGAGGCCAAACGGTGGCAGCCCCATAGGTCCTGTCCCCACCTTCAGGGACCTGGTGAATGCAGGTGTCAGCAGATGAAGCTTTCAGGAAGGACGTTGCCGAGCAGTTTGTCCATCGCTTGCAAGCAGGGCTTGGTGAGGGTTATGCCCAGGATGCATGCTGGGGTAGTTAGTTGGCTTGGCCATGTTTGGGAGAAAGAGCTGAACTGGAGAACTGTGCTAAACAGCTGCAGGAGGGCTGCGAGGGAGTAAGGGGATTTTAGAGCGAGGATAATTTATCTGGGCCACATTTCTATTTTTTAGTCTGCCTTTCTGAACCTTTTCTTTCAGTCCATGCCTTGTGATGGCGGCATCCAGCGAGGATGGGCTTTTAACGGTGGCTTCTGCCATGGCAGTTGCTTTTAGTGAAACGCCTTTGTTCAGGCTGAGCATTTCAGTAGGGCTGTGGGAAGAAGTTGCCCCTGCTCACCCTGCCCCACGAGGGGTTTCCAGCCTTTGCACGCTGGCCAGACGGGGACAAGTTTGGTTTGCCGTCGTGCTCCTTGCGGCCAGCAGGCACCCAGGGAAGAGGAGGG